TTTTTTTTTTTTTTCATTTCGGTTCTTTTTCATTCACGGTGTTTTATCGATTGAGTGCGTCTACGCAAATTCCACTTTTTCGGATCTGGGGGCCTTTTCGGGGACTTTTAAGGTTTTACTATAAATAGGGGGTTATAAAATTAAAAACATTTCATCCCATTCTTCTCACACTGCTGCAGATCAGTCATGGCAGCCCAAGGGGGCTATCACCATTCTTCTCTCAAATTAACCTTCTTACCCTTTATAAAATGTCGTAGTGCCGTTGTGTTTATCGTAGGCCTTGGTGAAGCGCTCTTTTCCCCCTTATTAGAAACCGATTCCGAACATTTTTGAGTTCGAGTTTAGATTTTCATGGTGCTTCAAGGGTTAAAGTTGTTTCCCTCGTAGTCCCCGACATAACCTAGAAGTATCGTCGGATTCAGAGCGATTTTCTTCTGGTGGGAATTTGAGATTTCATCTCAAAGTAAGGTAGGGGATTTCTTAGGTTTACATAATTGTTGTATTGATTGTTTTATAAGCTTATACAACTTGTATGTATGCCTAGGTATTTTATCTAGAATTTAATTTAATTATTTTCTTTGTATAAGATTTAATTCTCATGGTTGTATATAGCTTGAAATTAAATTGTGGCATGCTATTAAATTAAGCCTTGATACGTTCATTAACATATATTAAATTGGGAGGATTTGAATAAGTACTGCAACTTTTATTTAATCTTTCACTTGTATGAAAATTTAATTCACATGGTTGTAACTAGCATGGAATCAACGTGCAATGTGATATTAAATTAGACCTTGGCATGTTCTTTAAAATATGTGAACTTGAGAATATTTGGAGTTGTTTTAAAATCTAAAGAAAATTAATTAATTATGTTAATTAATTTTATTTTAAGTGTTTTACTCACTTTATTGGATTTTTAACTTGATATTGTTGATGAGTTTGACATGTACTATCATATATATTAAATTGAGAATAATTAAATAGGTTTTGAAACCTTTATTTAATTATTTTCTTTGTATGGAATTTAATTCACATTGTTGTACCTAACTTGGAATGAACTTAAAATGTGATATTAAATTAAGCCTTAATATGTTCATTAACATATATGAAAATGAGAATATATGAATGAGTGTGCAGAAATGTATTTAATTATTTTCTTGTATGAAGTTTAATTTACTTAGTTGTGAGTTAGGTTGAAATAACTTGTAAAGTGTTATTAGACTAGGCCTTATCATGACCTTTGACTTGTATTAGTTTTAGAATATTTGGATTTACTATGTAATGTTGAGAATTTAGTTATTTAATTTAATTAAACTCCATTATATGCTTTCATTGAAGTAGTTAAGTATTAAAGTTGTTTTCATGTTTAACTTATAAATTTGAAACTTGTTGTATGATTACATTATAGTATTCCATGAGTAGAAGTTATAGTTTAACTTGCTTATATACACATTAAATATTTGACATGTCGTATGCCATTGTAACTTGAAGACATATGATGAATATTGTGTATTTTACTTGACTTGTTTGTGCATGGTAGTTGACTAATATATTGTGTATATGTATTATATCTTGGTACACAACTTGATGATTTTTGGAAAGCTTACAAGGACATTGTAATATGTTACGGCTAGGGCATGACTCTAGTATAGGGGATGAGAGCTCCCCCTACAACATATAGTGCAAACTGGGTGGTTCCTTGAGAGCTAGTAATCCTAAAACACCAATACACAGTTTGATTCTGGGTTTAGTGCGCACTAGGTAGTACCCTACGGGCTAATAACCTAAGATCAGCTTGCTTAGTCATTGAGACCGTATGTTCTTGTCTTTTTCGCAACTACTTGATTTCGCATTCAATTTCAAGTTGTTTAATATAGATTATTTATAACTTGTGATATGGTGTTTGACATTTCAATTTAGTGTAATATACATGTGCTTAGTATACTTGCATGCCTTGTTTTTCAGTACAAGTTAATAGCACTAAATTGTTATAACTTGTTGTTTCCGTAGTTTAGATTTCAAGTTGTTAACTTTGATAATCTATGCCTGGATGCGTTGTATTAGAAGTTCTAATGTTAGTTAAAATTGTATTGATATTGTAATTTGGGTATTAATTGTTTAATGTAGCCTAGGATGATTCCTCAGACTCATCTGGAACATAGACGTTAGGTAGTATGAAACGTTTTGGTTGTTTTCGCATTTTAGGTTGCAAGTTGATAACTTTGAATACCTATATTTTGTTGCGTTGCACTGTATGCTCCTATATTGTTAAATTGCATGAATGATGTGGTTTAGTCTAGAAATGCTCTAAGGTAGTTTAGGATGCTTCCTGAATCTCACATTTGACATAGATGCTAGGTGGTATGACCGTATGAATTGATTTATCGCAACTTAATAAGTTTGTAAAATGCTAGGTCTATGTATGCTCATCTCCTACGAGTAGCTTTACGTTACTCACCCACATAATGGGGACATTTTTCAGGTACAGATTCAAGATTTGGGGCTTCGTATTTGCTTTGGGATGTCTTGTAGACTTGAAAATATTTATTTCATGAAAATGTTAGCATGAAATGTTATTTTTGATTCAAAATGTCAAAACTTGTATATTTGGTTCTAAATATGTAATGAGCACCTAAGTGCGCCATTTGGGATGTTTTTGACATGTATGTAATGAGGCCATGGGCTAATGACATTTTATTTGTATTCTAAGTACTTTTATTTCTAAGATATTTTGTTGAAAAATAGAAAAAATGCAATGCTGTACCTTCATTACATTTGCATGGGTGGTGGGAAGTTTGGCTAAGGGCTAAACGGTCATTTGAAACTATTTTAAAATTTTAAGTTTCAAATTTTCCTTTAAAAGTCCATTTTAGGTATTTTTGATGTTCGGATAGGTCGTATTTTGCATCGGGCATTTATGGGGCCCACAGACCATTTCTGCGCACTTAAAATCATTAATTATGTTTGCGTGCATCACCGTTTTAGCCTAAAAATGCATTTAGGGTCAAATGATCACTTCATGGGAAGTTGCATTTTTATCATTTTTGGCCTAGACTGTTTCAGGGGTATTCTGGGCATTTCAAAGCGCGTTTCATTTTTTCTTTCAACATAATCAGGTAGAAAACGTGATTTTAGGGAGGGTTTCTTCACAACATTTTTCCAGAAAATGCCATCTCGGTTTCGAAAACCCCGTATCAAATCTAATTTTCTGTGCGCATGTACATTTTTCAAAGAAGTCTGTTATAAGGGCATTTTGGAAATTTCACGTCAAAAAATAAAATATTCTTTCAACATGATCAGCTTGGAAAAATTATTTTGAGGGGGGTTTCTTCTTCGCGTTTTTTCAAAAAACGTCGTTTAGTGTCTCAAAATAGTATACGAATTTCAGCATTTTGCCCAGATCATTAATCATTGCTGTTAAAACACTATTCACGGCCGCGGCGACGTTAAAACTTTTCATTCCATCCGGACTCCGAATCAAGTGATTCTTGAGTCTAATTTGATTAATTTTTCACTGTCTTTCCAATGGTGTGCTCGGTAGCACACAGATCTTTATTTTTAAATTCCTTCCGCTATGCTTTCTTATGAGTTCCGTGACTTCATGGGAAGTCACGGATGTGTCTTGGGAATGATGTACATTTCCAGAGACGTTGCTTCCACGTAAAAAGACTGTTTTGCCTTTGGGGGCTTCTTTTGGTGTTTTTTCTGATATTTTATTCCGCGTCGGTTCTCGTGGAGTTCCATGGCCTCATGGAATGTCATTTTGACGTCCTAGGGATGTTGTATATCCCTAAAGACCTTATTTCTGTTTTTGCTTCGGAATTTCGGATCCGTTATCGAGTCAAACTTCGGTTCATCACATGATGCACTGGCTTGAAAAATCAGGACTGTCACAATAACCTTGATCTCTAACCAAAAACCAAAAAGTAGGCTAAGAAGAAATAAAATCACACAACATCTTGAAGATCCTTTCTTAAATTTAATTTTAACTAGTCTTTCTCTTGAGGGAATTTTTTTTTTTTTTTTTTTTTTTTTGTTGGATTATCTTACCCATTGCGAAGTGATAATTGCACCATCCCATAACCTTAGCAATGCTGTACTTTAATGCATATATGTGCACAGTTGAGATTCAAATTCTATTTTTGTTATAGAAAACTGCGAGCAAAAATAACAAAAACAAAGTCTGACATCAAAATTTGAAATATGAATATATTTGGAACTTAAGTAGTACCACCTATTTTTCAGCTATAATGTAAAAATTATAAAACATGTGGAACGGTGGACTGTATGTACCCGATAAAAAATTTGAAAGGTTTTAAGAGGTCTATCAGTAACAGCGTCCAAAATAAATTTTTTTTTATTTAAAAAAATTGGATTCTAAATCACTACCCAAATATAAAATAATGGTAACATAACTCATAAGGTCAAGATAATGTGTAATTCAAGCATTCCTCCTTCAATTTATAATTTTCTTAACTTTGTTAAAAAAAAATTGGATCCTAAATCACTACCCAAATATAAAATAATGATAACATAACTCATAAGGTCAAGAGAATGTGTAATTCAAGCATTCCTCCTTCAATTTATAATTTCTCAACTTTTTTTAAAAAAAAGTGGATCCTAAATCACTACCCAAATATAAAATAATGGTAACATAACTCATAAGGTCAAGATAATGCGTAATTCAAGCATTCCCTCCTTCAATTTATAATTTCTTAACTTTGTTAGACTTGAGCACTACAATACCGTAGTATAATTTTTATTTGAATATTTGACCCATCAATATGGATTGTTTGTGATTGTAACGTAAATATATATAAATGTGACATGTCTGCACCACAGCTTCAATATATTTAATGCAGATTGGATTATTTAGTGGGCTGAAAAGCAGAATATCCTCAAAGGGGTACTTTAGGCACACATTACACGTCCTTTTTTCCGAGCGTATCTAAAACATCTTCAAATCTCTCTTTGACCATCGTACTCCCCCCCCCCCCCCCCCCCCCTCTCTCTCTCTCCTCTCTTTCTCTCTCTATCTGCATTGCCTTTTCGCCGCTGTTGCAGTGAGAGTTCTCTTTCTCCTCTCACTTTCCTCCCTCTGCCACTGCTAAAGAATTTAAAAGGTTTGTTTCAGAGAGAGAAAGTTAGAGAGAGAAAGAGAGTTTTCTTCTTCTTCTTCTTTCAAATCTCCATAATTCTCTTATCATTACAACTCTCTCTCTCTCTCTCTCTGTTCGGAGTCTCTCCGATCCGACGGCCACGATCTTCTCGTCATCTAATCGTACGCCCAGGGTTCGCTTGTCAGCCTCGTCTCAAGTAAGTCCCCCCCATATTAAAGCTTAAGCCTTTTTCAGCCACCTCTTTCTCTCTCTCCTCCTTTATCGAAATCATTTCTAATTAATCACTCGCTGTATCTCTCTACACAGAGGTATACATATATACATACATATATATATATATATATATATCAATTTCTCTCTCTGTATCGTCGCCATTTTAGAATTTGCCCTGTACGTTATCTGCTTTATTTGAATACTCGTTTTTTTTTTTAAAAAAAGTATTATTAATGTTCTTTTTGTAAAATTAATTAATCTAAAGCGTTTCTTTTTACTTTGGTTGTATTACTTTTTTGTCTCTGGTTACATGCAAAGTACAAATTTCTGTCATCGTGAAGGGTTTTATTGAATTAGACGATTTTTGTGAGAATATCTAATCTTATAATCTTGATTTTTACATATATGATATATATATAGATCAGATTATTGGAATAGAGTTTGTTGAATTTGTCTTTTATGTACCTCTGGAGTCTTCAACTTTTATTGAATTTCACAGTATTCACTGTTGGGAATTTATGTTGTTGTCAAAATGTAGTCAGGTTGGATATCAATCATGGGTATAAGCTTAACGAGTGGTTAATTGTTGCTAATGGGTAAAATTTAACTTAATAACTTGGATATAGGATTTGGGTATTAATTTTGAGTTGAGTGCTTGGTTAATTTTGTGCTAGTTTTTAATTTCATGAATCCTAGTTTGCTTGTAGATTTTTATACTTTAAACACTATTCATGAACGCTTTAATTGGTTTTGAGAATTTTTTAGTCATAAATTTGAATTTATTATTTAAAATATCACTTCTATTGTAAATTGGACTATTTCATTGCTAATTTTGAAATCTTATCACCGTAACTTGTTAACTCGTTCAGTTATCTATTGAGATTTACAGTACATTTTTCATTTATCTATATGTTAGTGATGGTATTTTTTATAATTTGACATATGGCTAATCATTATTTTTGGGGAAATAGTGATTTCATTGTCCCTTGCCTTATAGAGTTGATGCTCTATCTGTATGTCACTCTTTTTATTGAGGTAATGAAGTATATGGTGACTTGCGAGTTGATTGAAATATTTGTGTCTTGTACATCTTTTCTTTTTAGATTGATAAGCTGTGTTGAATGATATGAATTACAAGAATATGATGATATTTGCATTTATTAGTTTTTGCATTATTACCAATTATTGGTATCCTTTTATATGAGGTGGAAAAAATTAATCTTTTCTTTTAATCATGTCTCATAAAAGGTGATTGGTAATTAACATTCCTTAGTTTTTGAATTATGATGAATAATTGGTCTCCTTTTATATGAGTTGTACAAACTACAAAATTGATTTTCTTAATTGTGTCTTGTTACCTGAATTATATTTCTATTTTATTATATGCAGTGAGCAATATGCATCTTGTGAACAGAGGGCCTATGGAGCCTAATGGGCATAGGAGAGCAAGGAGAAAGGATTACATTTCTCAGGAAAATGGGGAAGCGAGCTCATCAGATGTTGACATTGAACTGGATCCATGGACTGCCTGGGCATATAGACCTCGTACTGTTTCAATGTTACTTATTGGTGCATGTTTTCTTATGTGAGTTTCTTGCACTGTGAGCAGTTTTATCTTGCCAATTCTGCAACTTCATTATTTCATGGATAGCCTTGTTATCTTCATAATTGTGAACCTCCATTTCCCTCTTGAATTCTATTACTTGTCATAAGTTTCAAGTGTTTGCCTTGCATATGAGTGCTGTGAGTACCGAATTAGGGAAAATTTTGAACTAATAAATAAGAAACTCAGTATTTACTTCATTTACTTATATAGCCACTAGTCCAAGTTACATTGAGGTTACATTAGAAGTTTGGAAGCTATTGGGAAAAGTCTGTCACAACCAAGGCTTCAGAATGCCAATATAGAGGATCTGCAAGCTCAAAATTACCCCTTCAGCTTTCGGTAAACAATATATTTTGTGGAAACCATTGGTTTTAAATTTTGTATACACAGTTTTACATTCGTGTCAGAAAATTTCTGAAATTAGTAGATTATAAATCCCACATCTTATGTAACTGTTATATAGCCAAAGCTACGTTAAATTACATTCATAGTTCTATATTCAATGCTGTATCTGCAAAACTAGAAGGGATCTGCGAACTTGGAGCTTGCTTCCCAATTTTAGCCTTTTAAAAGCCATGCATGTTTGTGTTAGTTTCCTCTTCCCTCAGGCACTGTCATAAGGATGCTTTCTATCGAGTGAGGTAGCTTTGCTATATATATACATAATGATGTAGAGAGCAGAATGCGACACTAGGATTTTGCAGAAGATCTTATAGATTATTATATTCATTTAAGCAGCATTCAACGTTGTCCGTATACTGTTTGCAGTATGTCCGTATGGCCTTCTTTGTGTAAAGTTAGTTATCTAGTGTTGTACATCATTAGATGTCATATATTGTTTGCTGTAACATTATTAAACTTATTCTCTTTATATGTAATGTTGGTCATGAAATGTTCTTTCTGTGGGCCTGAACTACTAATAAGGTCATTGTACGTCAAAGAAGGGTCCCTATTTTTTTTTTTTTTTTTTTTTTTTCTGTGTTTTTTGGTAGATGAGTGTTGGTTTGAAAAGGGGGTTAGTAAATGTTACTTTTCTTGTGTTGCCCTGCTTCCTAATGCTTATATTCTGTGCATAAGGGAAAATTTAGGAGTATTATGTGAAGTATCTAACAGAATATTTCAGCTTGGGAACCTTTATTCCCTGCATTAAGAAATAGTTTCGTGACCATTCCTCTAATCTACAAAATGACAATGGGACAATAGAGAAATCTTTTTCTTCAAACAGGAGGTTCCCTTCTTTGCTGTTGTCCCTCTACTTTTGACATTTGTTTTGTAATATTGCTTAGCACCCTATTTTTTAAAGGCTTGATGATAAAAGTATTCTTGTTGGAGAAGATATTACTATGCTTACTAGAAAAAAGTGTTACATTATCTTACCCTTACCATTACATGCACAAGTATTCTTTTAAATAAGCCAGTTGCAATGATGTTCTTTGATTTTCTTTATCTGAACATGCTTATAGATGGGCAAGTGGAGTTCTTGATCCGGAAAACTGTTCATCTCATGATATTGTCACATCTGTGAAAAGGTCTGTGCTTGGCTTTCTATGTGCTGTTATGCATTTGACAAATTTCTGTTAGTACTTAAACCCGTGTATATTTTTTTTATAGGGGTGTATGGGCAATGATTGCTGTTTTTCTTGCTTACTGTTTGCTGCAAGCCCCTTCAACGTAAGTTACCTAATATAGTTTATTGTAAACAGATTTGTTGTGACATTTTTTACTGCATCAAGTTCATAACTATTTGAAAGTATTCTAAGCCTTATTTAGTTTCTTTGACGCGCATGCTTTTTTTATTGTTTGTATTAAACTGCTCATCTACCCAAGGATACTTGAGTGTGAATGGATATGTTTTGTGGGATGTGGAAAAATCTCTCTTGTTTCTCAAATCAGTTTTGTTTTAATTAGAGTTATGAGCACATTCATAACAATTTGCAGCAAAACAGCGTCCTCATTTTTAATTTGGTGACCAAATACTATGTATTCTGTATAGCATTGCTGATGCATTTATGTGATTTAGGCTGAGGAGTAATTTTATCAAGGTGTAGGTTTTTGAGGAATTCCTTAAGGTCTTTTATCTAAGGGTAAAGTGCAGAAAACACCCGTATAGTATGCTTACATAGCGCATCTCACCCCCTCATGTGCGGAAAACTCCCCTAAAGTATGAATTTGTGTAATCCCACTTGACACATTTAAGATAGACTGTATTAAATTTTAATTGGGAATAATTTTTTCTTTTTTATAATTATAGAAAGAACGGGTGTTTTCATTCCATATGATATACTTAACATTAATTTGACAACTGTGAGAACAAATATTTTTTTTTTGAGATATTTTTTTTTACTCCATTTGACCAGTAAAAGAAATACATATATTAGAACTTTCTAACTTATGAGTGGCTTTAAGTCCTAGGAAATGTAAAATAGTCGATCAAAGAGAGATAATACACTTTTAGTTTTAGGGGAAATATATGGAGAATTATTTTTTTTGAAAGGTGAGAAAAAATCCCTTAAAGTGGGTTAAATATAGTTAATGTGTACATTACACCCCTCTACTATGAGATTATTATCATACACACCCCCTTGGGGATTTTCGGAAGAGTAAAAGGGCAAAATGGGCGTTATAGCATTATTTTATGTCAGATCTTTGCAAAACGTAATTTGAGGGGTGATTCTGCACAATTTTAAAATATAAGGGGGTTAATAGCACACTTTTTAAAATAGGGGGTGAAAGTGCTTTGCGGAGTATACTTTAGGGGTGTTTTCTGCACTTTACCCTTTATCTAATGGCATCATGAATTTTTTTTTTTTTCTCTCCTTTTCAGAACATTTTTCTCCTTATGTGATAGTTAAGCAAGTTTGTTTTGCCGACTTCTCTTGAAAGGATTTGGGGGTATGTTTTAGTAGAATTGAGTTAAATCTTACCCCACCCAACCACCCCACCCACCCCCACAAAAAAAAAAAGAAAAGAAAAAAAGAAAGAAAAGGAAAGGTAGATGGCTGTTGGATCACGATAGCATCAAGAATTTTCCTTTTTGGACATGCTGTGGACACTTCCCAGACATACCGACATGTCGTGGACATGCAATAGACATTCTGACATGCCACATACATGCTGTGAACAAGCCGGGTACATGGGTGTCTGATTAAAAGGGGTTATTTAAGAAAAGAAAAAAGAAAAAAAAAGATGGGTTAAAATATGTAGTATGTGGATTTTTTTGGAAAGTTTCAATAATATGGAGGTCAAAACATAAAGAATTTAGAAGCTTTTAATATGAAATTTATCAAGCATTTATTTTTTAGTTGATCTTTTCATGCTTATTACCTGTTTGAAATTGTAAAGATCACAAAGAGAAAATGGTAAGAATATTGCTCTCTTTTGCAACCAAGCTTCGAAGTTGTTAGTGATCATAGAAACTTGACTGTTGGCGAGCTGTCTTCTTCTTCTTCTTATTTAGTAAATCATTCCTCTTATTTTATTTATTTATTATTTTGTTCTCTTCTTCTGATAACAAGCTCATTTCTTACTCTAACAGAGTCTCTTTTATCATCAACAATGCACTATTTTTTTTTCTCAACAAAACTTCAATTCTCTTTATTTCTTCATTTTTTTCTTTCTTTCTTTTTCTAACACTCTCTTCTAATAGATTCTCTTTCTTTTTCTTTAATAAAGGCCCCTTAAGGGTAAGAAATTTTTATCAGCCCCTTTTCTTTCATTCTTTACCTAACTGTTAATATTTTGTTTTTTGTTTTTTTATTTGTTTTTTATATTTATTTATTAATTTTTTTTATGGATTTATATTACAACAAATTTTATAAAGAGAGTTTAAAAATTATACTTCAGCTCATTCTCTCTTCTTATCTTTCTTATTAAATGAGTGAATAATTGTTGTATCCGTGCTTCTTAGATTCCACTCAGCTGAAAGGAGTGAATTCTGTGTCTCATAATTGAAAATTTAACTATAAAAAGTAGAGGCATAGCAAGCTGGAGGTACCCTCGTATGCAGTCAATAGAAGGAAATATTTAAACGCTGCAAAGAGAAGTTTTACCCAAGGGGGTAGCAATGGCAGAGGATTTTTTTTGCAATTTTTATCCTGTGAGGTGTTTGTTGCCTTGCTGATAAAAATAACATGTTCCTTTCATCACTTTATGCCTTAGATGACTAAAGACAACCTTTTCCAACACTCTGCCCTCTGAAGCCAAGTTTGCCCCCTCCAGATTTGAACAACATTTTCAACTGTTCTCTTCATTCTTGATCTTTGCATGACATTTAAGTCGATGTCAAGCTTTGAACTTACAACTCTGAACGAGATTGGGAACTTAGGCATGGCCAAAATTTGTGTTATTTTGAAGTCTCCTACCTCCCTTCACATACCAGCGTCGACACGACATGATATGGGTATGGGTAGGAGTATGGATATGTGTTTGACACACTAGTCCAAATCGAACATCCCAGTCCTTCAGATGTGACAGATTGTAGTACAAACTCAAATTTTATAGCAAGAAAAGTTTTGTATCCATCAGATAGAGAAACTTCTTTTCTTTTTTCCCCTTACCACACATAACGTATTTAAATACATAATACATGTATACTAGCCAAATTTTAGGCACATTTTCCCATGCCCCAGGCTTTGGAATACGAGAAGGTCCAACAATTAGCACACACCCAATACTTGTACCGGAGCCCATGTATAGGGTAAAACAATGTCAAATGTTCACATTAGTTATGATCAAATCATCGTTTTGAAGGAATACATATCTTTGTTTTTGTTTTGAAAAATGCTTTTTTGAGTCTCCCTTGTTACTATGGTGCTTCAGTTTCTTTAAATTTAAAGTGTATGATATTTTTCTCCGCCTTCTTATTTGTTTGTAAATGCATTTGGTATTACAGAGTACTAATTAGGCCACATCCTGCAATTTGGCGCCTAGTTCATGGGATGGCTGTTGTTTACCTGGTTGCTCTCACATTTCTGCTTTTTCAGGTTAGTGTTATTTAATAATTGCTGAGCTAAAATATATGTATGAGCATCTGTCTTTGCGCTTCTCTCTCATTTAAATGTCAAAAATAACGATTTCTCTGTTAGATGGTAATTTCCACACCAACCTTTTCATTTCGTAGTTCAGGGTGGGGTGTGGTACTTTGATGCCACTGGCATCTCTAATAAGTAATTTCCTTTTCATTTCGTAGTTCAGGGTGGGGTGTGGTATTTTGATGCCACTGGCATCTTTTATTAGTAATTTTTTTTTTTTTTGAAAATTTATTTTATTTCTTATTGACTCACCTGTAATTATTTATGCTCTGAAGTAAAATCTGCAGTTTTTATAGCTTATATTTTTGTCTTCTTTTTTTGGATATGTTCTCTGTGCAACTACCACATGCTAGCAGTTATGAATATGAGTTTTTTTCCTGCATTATATTTGTTGAGCATTACGGTGGTAACTGCTTTGTTTTCTTTTTTCTTTCATTATTTTCCAGAAACGTGATGATGCTCGGCAATTCATGAAATTTCTCCATCCTGATCTTGGTGTTGGTAATGAATCTGGACTTTTGCAAATCTTGTTACTTTTTCATGCTGATTGACATGGATCAGTTCATTGTGTTTGTAATGCATTTGATTTTTGCAAAATTTTCATTTCACGAGTTGAGAGGTATTTGGCCATTGAGTGCATATCGAGATCACTATTAGTGAGTGTGTGTTTATTTATTTTATAACTATATTTACATGTTTTTGATGCAGAACTTCCTGAGAGATCCTATGGTGCTGATTGTCGAATTTACGTGCCTGAAAATCCCACAAGCAGGTTTAAGAATGTTTATGTATGATATCTTCTTTCACAATTCTTCTACTTCACTAATTTCTTTTTGGCTGCATTCTTTTCCTGTTTGTGGTGGATGTTAGTATGGTATTGGGAAGTCACATGCCTCTTATTTGTTTTATTTTCCCAGGAGACACTCTTTGATGAGTTTGTTCTTGCTCATATTTTTGGATGGTGGGGAAAGGCTATACTGATTCGTAATCAGCCCCTTTTGTGGGTGCTATCAATTGGATTTGAGTTCATGGAGGTCAGAGTTTTAATCCGAACTTAAAATTCCTTTTATGGTTCTGATTTTTAGTTAGCACTCATTATGAGCTTGGTACAGTCTTTTAAACTGTTCTCAATCTGAGTATCTTTTGCACTTCCATAAAGTTAATCCTTTTATTGGCATGTTGCAGCTTACCTTTCGCCACATGTTGCCAAACTTCAATGAGTGCTGGTGGGACAGCATCATTCTTGATATATTAATCTGCAATTGGTTTGGTGAGAACGTCGAAGCCACTTTCATGGTTTTTCATTCTGTCAATGCAGAATATTAGCATATTCCTTAATAATATTGGAATCCATCATTTTTGCCATTAGTTAACATTCCCTCTATGAGAATTCTGCAAGATGATCCTGTGGAAAGAGTGAAGTATAAGCATTAAAAATTGGTTGGTAGAGAGAAAGAGAATGAGTTGGCTTTTTAACAACCCTAGTTGCTTGAATATTCTCCAGTATTGTAAACATCGTTTACCTCATAAGTTTACAAGGTTTAGGACTTCTAGAGAATGAAGCCGAGCGGTTCAAATTGTTGAGAGATATCTTTTGTATTGGTGAGATTACAGTGAGAAAATTCCATGACCAGATGAAATGAACGTCTTCCGTCACGAGCATACTAATTTATTTAATGGCCTTGGTATAAACTCCATTATTCTCCATAAATGTGTTTTACTATTAACTTGTATAAAATGGTAATATATGGAAAATATCTCAAACTAACCATACGAAGAGCTTTTTAAACTCTCTTTGTATATGCTAAGCTGCTCGTAGATCCATCTCTGGTGTCAGTATGTGTTTGATTTTTTTTTTTTTTAAAATTTTTTTATCTCTGGATATTCTAATTCTTGTCTCTTAATTGTCTATCCTATTTGTTTGTTTGAGGTAGAGCTGCTACTTGCCAAATTTTTAATAGTAATAATGATGAGAATGAATACGGGAAACACCACTCTATTGAGAGAAATTAAATAAAGTTGCAAAGCAGGTTGATATTACTTCCAAACCAAGCAGAAAGAACAAGATAATAAGCTCAAGAACCTTGAAGTACTTCAGAACCTTAGCTTTCACTGTATTGCCTTGACCCATAGGCTTAAAATTGGAGAGAGCGACCTGTCTCTGTTGTGGTTCTTGAAATTGCCTCCCATTCAAATTTCACTGCAATTACCAAGGGAAAAACCATTTAGATTTAACTTCATGATTTCATATTAATTTTAGGACTAGATTTTGCTGGTTCTACAAAATGTGCTGAGTACTTCAAAATTGAAATATTTACATTGTAATGCAATAATTTTGTGCTGCTTTTGAAGCCATGGTTTTTATTAGATGGGTGGGTATAGAGTTGCTATTAGTTAGAATATTTTGAGAGAACTTGTGGATTGAGAAGAATTGTTACAGTTCCTTTTTCTTTTCTGGAAATGATTTTTTTTTTTCTTTTTTCATTTGCTTTTATTATCACCTTGAAATATAGTGAAAGATGCATTTCGAATGCCAATTTACTGTTGAAGTTTTTTGCAAAAACTTGGTGTGGTAATTAGTACCTTTCTAGTTTCTAGATACAGGTGCTATCCTGGATTATTACCTTTTCACTTCACAAAACTAGGAAGATTTGGGCAATTCACATTATTTTGTTCTATAAAAACTAGCCGGTATATTTATTGATAATTGAAGAAGTTTATGGCAAATTTATACTTGTTGGATGTTGATCTGCGGTAATATTGGTGCTGAAACAGAATTTAGAGCTCTGCAATATAAGAATTACATAGGCATAGTTTTTGCAGCGTTTCATTTCTGCTATGTGCTTGGAGGTGCTTAGGGGCGTGCTTCTGAAAATGATAATTAATTTAATTTCAGGCCCTTTCTTGGGTAATATTGTTAATCTATCAAAGTTCCAGTTGCTTGTTCTTGGTTATTACTGGTTCAGGAGTTCCAAAACATTATCGACTTTCCTTGAGCTGTTTATATGCATAATGAGAGGAGGATCTGAATGGTTGTTGATCAGGTTGTTTACCAGTTGCATCTTTCATGATGATTGTAGAAATGCTAATATGTAATTTCCATTATGGATGGACAAAGAAAACACAAGCGGGAGGGTACTGTTATTTAGTTGGACTATTCCCAAATTGACTTCTCCGTGCTCATGTCGTTTCATGATAATGAGATCAAGGTGTTTTTGGTCTCCGAAAAGGGCATGCCTAATTTTTTTCACTAATTACGAAAAACTTTTTAACTTCAGATTTGACTGATTCAGGCATTTTTTGTGTTCCGTGTTGGAATACATCATCTTTTACAATTGCGCAAGTCGCCAACTTTTACTACCCTGAAGCTTTAATTTTGTTAGTCAATTACCTTTCTGTTGTAGATGTGGAACTCCAGGATTAGCTTTGGTTATGTCACCGCGGTATGAGTTGGAATAAGAGAAAACTGTGTAATATTGATATTTGAAATCTGTCAGGGACCTTGCATTTGTATTCCTTTTGAGAATGTTACTTGCTAATATCTTAGACTGGAGTGATTATTAAATTTTACTTTAGTCACTGTCATTTTTCTGAGATGATTTGCACAATAAGGGACTTTTACCATGCTGACAGGTTCTTTTTTCTTTTACCTTGCAGGCATCTGGGCAGGAATGTATACTGTTCGATACTTTGATGGAAGAACATATGAGTGGGTTGGCATAAGCCGTCAGCCGAATATTATTGGCAAAGTATGTTTTATGACAGTTATATGCATGTGTATCTGTGCGTTGCTGAAATGTTCTAAATCTTCTATTATATTTTGCAACGCTTTATTTCATCATATTATCAATGAAAAAAATGTCATTGACTTGCAAATGGTTCTTTAGAAGCGAAAGCTTTTGATGTTAAGAAGCAGACACTTTAACAGAGGAGCTGTTTCTGCATTCTGTATACCCTTTATGGACACTTCTAAATATTTGTTTCTCTTGTATGGGACTTGATTCAATAAGGCAAAAGAATAATCTAAAAAATGTGACAAAACTTTGACATTGGTCGCATATTTGAGTCTGGCACATCTTGGATAATAGAATTGTGCTTGATAGATATTTCATGATGGAATATAGTTTTTTTTTTTTTTTAAAGAAAAGATTACCATTGATGAAGAAAAAAACATAATGGACATTTATTTGGATTTATTGAAAAATTTAAGTTTACTTTTGTATGAATTAATATCTATTGTGGTATACTTGCTACGGTCATGTTCTAATTTCTAAGAACATAGTCCTTTTATGTGTCCATATGGTCATGAACCTAAGTTGCATGTGCGTCCATGCTCCGTAGCATGGATGTATGTGCCAATTGGTCAATTACAGATTATATCACGATTTATTTGTTCTCTTTTCAGTGTGTACCAATTAGTGGCATTACCGAATCTTTGAAATTAGGACACTTGGTACCATTTATATTCCATAATAATGTGCTTTCTCTTACATGTAACCGAAAGAAAAGAAGAAAATTAAAGGATGGATAGAAAAAGAGTTGATAAACATGTTATATACTCTAAATGAATTTCTGAGATGTTGATTTCGTACTTATCTGGAAAGGTAGTACATGAATAGACACTTTCCCCCTCCCCGATTTATTGCAAGTATTGTTGACCTGACACCAAGACACGATCCGTGTCTTATTTGAAACTCTTTCAAAAATTTAATTTTTAGTTTAATCACTCTACGGGGAGGAAATATTGGTTATTGGCTTCTTTTGGGTGGATCTTAGAAATTTATCTTGATATGCTTACAAATTATAATTTTCATTTCTTTTCACTGTTCTCTGGTACTATTGTCTTAAAGACTTCTGATCTCGTAAAGAAATGTATGTCTGCCTTTTTTTTCTTTCGTTCTTTTGTCTATTTTGGATTTCCTAACTGATGAATGTTGATACACAAATAGTGTCTGTTGCTCTGTACATGCTCTTTCAAGGTCAGTCATAATTATTGGATATTGTATGCAAAGTTTTTCTTGGTTGAAGAATTGTGGATTTGTTTGCTTATGTCACTCCAAAAAGTCATTATCTTTCTTGTCCTTATGATGATAGGTTACCTGAGCCCTTTTTTTCACCGAGTTTTCAGAATCTGTCAACCAAACAAATTTTTTTACAGTTTTCTGATTTTCAATTCTCAGAAAACTGAACCAAGCGGACTTTAAATTTTATAGAGATAAGCTTTTCTGGTTCTTGTTTCTGAATTTTCCTGGGAAGTTTTACTCGCAATTGTCTTTGGGGGTAAGGTTCAATTGCAAGTGTACTTGATTGACATTTAGACTTTGATCTACCTGAAGTGGCCTCAATTTGTGGAAAAATGAAGTTTAAACTGTTCGGGGAGCTGCATTCTGTGATAGATGAGGTTGTCATTGTGAATTAGGCTTTCACTCATTGCACTTTTTCTTGCCTTTGCATCTAAACTTTATCCTTAAGTAATATGTTGATTTATTTATGTACCAGCTTAATAAGTGCTGATAGTCTACTCTTCCCATAGAATGATAAGAGTTACTACTTTTTACTTACTTTCCAGGTCAAACGAACACTAGGTCAATTTACACCAGCACAGTGGGACAAAGATGAGTGGCACCCCCTCCTTGATCCATGGCGTTTTATTCAAGTTCTCAGTCTTTGCATTGTGTTCTTGACTGTGGAGCTGAACACATTCTTTCTCAAGTTTTGTCTTTGGATCCCTCCTCGTAACCCCCTGATTGTGTATAGATTGATCTTGTGGTGGCTAATTGCAATACCAACAATTCGCGAGTACAATTCATACTTACAGGACAGGTTCTCTCTCGCTCTCTCTCCCCACCCTATTGTTCTTGCATATGCAAATAAAGTACTGCAATTTTAACAAAGAATTTCAATGCAAAACTGAATTGATATGTAGCTTCTCTTAATTTTTGGTTCCCGCATTGATTTTCAGAAAACCAGTGAAAAAGGTGGGGGCATTTTGTTGGCTCTCTATTGCCATCTGCATTGTGGAACTCCTCATTTGTATCAAGTTTGGGTATGGTGAGTTCTCTAGCTTCTTGTCATTATGAGAATAGCGTTTAGTTTTCTATTTTCAGCTGATTATTTATTTTATTTTATTTTTTTATTTTTTTTTAAGGTAAAAGTTTTTTCACTCGCAATGACGATGCATTTATTATTTTTACTCCAGGGTTATTTCCCAAATCAATGCCCTTGTGGTTGGTAATTTTTTGGACATTTGTTGGGGTGGCCTTAGTGATATTCCTGATTGTGTGGTCTTGGCAACTGCATCGCAGTCTCCGTAGAAAGCGGCAATGACTTTACAATTGCGGTTCATCATTCTTTGTTTCCTCCTGTTTTCAACAGGTGACCTACAATGTTGTAAATACCTTTCAGCTTCATTAATTGTAAATACTTGTTCTGTTAGGCAAGTAAATCACAGTTTGTCTTGTAGAGAATATTAATTCTTTCTTTTTAGGTAGTGTGAAAGGTTTTCTAATGCTAGTTGCTTTAGTTATCAATTGGCAAAAGTTACTACAAATTTTGGTTGAGCTTTAATGTTTTAGTTTCTCATTGTATTCTTTGTTTCTTAGTGAGATAAAAGATTCATTTAGTTTTTAGTAAAGAACATTTCCTGACCAATTATTTTTATTATTATTTTGATAAATACATTTCCTGACCATTATTATGATGGTTAATGCTATTATGGGAATGGGAGACCAAATTAACATTGGTTGATAATGTGTTTTGATTGAGGGGATATCCGGTGTTTAGAGCGGAAAGGTTTTCAGTTCTGAAGAGTGGAACGGTGAAACAAGATTCATGCAGTCTGAGTTGTGTTTATTTTACTGAACATTGCATGGGCGGTGTTTAGGGCTGCAACTTGGGCAGGCTAACCTAGTCCAATCCAAAAATTTTGAAATTTGGGCTTAAAATTCACAAATCGAGCTCACGTTCGGGTTGGGTTTTGTCAAAATCCAGACATGTTTGGGTTGGGCTCGGGCTCGGGCTCAACCTGAACCCAATCCGAAACCTAAAATAATTTTATTTATTTATTTACTATGGGTTCTCCTTTCTCTCTCCTCTTTCTCTTTCTCTCTCTGCCGTTGCCGCATCGTCCCTTTGCTGCCGTTGTTGCCGTCCATCGCTCTCAACCGCTGATCCACCGCCGCCACCGTCCCTTCCAAAAATTAAAACAAAACCCATACATACAAGTTAGCAGTTGTAGAGAGAGAAGGGGGCAATTGAGAGTTGAGAGACAGCGGTTGAAGCTTGCGAACCCAAACTAGAACAGTGGGCGATGAAAACTGAAAGATGTGGTTTTGATTTTTTAAACAATCTGAAATGATATGCCGATATGGGTTTTGATATAGGTAATAGGTTTTGAACTTTTGATTCTTGCAGACAGATAGATAAACTGAAATATATGGGTTTTGAACTTCTGAGTCTTGTAAATTTTGTAACTTGCAGTTGCAGAGATAGATTTTGTAGTTTGCAGTTGCAGAGAGAGAGAGAGAGAGAGAGAGAGAGTGAGTTGAGAATGAGACCAGATATAGATGCGATTGGGGAGGCTGAAATGATTTGCCCTAAAAATATTTTATTAATATAATCAAATATATATTATATATATATATATATAAATTTCTGAAAAAAACAGAGAAATTTTTAAATTTTTATTTTTTTTAAAAATCAACCCGATCCGATCCGACCGAAAATATTCGGACTCAGTTTTGATCATAATTCATGTTTGGTACAATTCGGGCTAGCCCAATCCAACCCGATTCGGGTTGAATTTGGGTTGGGACTGGGCTAGGTTGGGCTAGCCAAGTTGCAGCCCTAGTGGTGTTGGTGAAATGATAAAAGGACTGAAAATCACTTTTCTGTTTTACATGCGTGAAGAGTAGGGCTCGTTATGTATGTATATATTTGTTTAGCTGAACCAAACAAGCATGTTGAACATTTTGTCTTGTAATCGAGGAGAAAGAAAAAAGAAAAAAGAAATATGGGTTGATGTTTAGTTGCAAGAAGTTCATTAACGAAGTGTTATTCATTGTTGTCATAGGACATTACTAATAAGAAATAGAGCTAAGAAGCAAAAAAGGATCTCCCACAACCTCGTCCTTCGGCAAACATCCCATTGTCTCGCCCAGACAACCTCTTCCTATCTATAAAAATATCTATTTTCTCTCACTATATATGTATATAACTCAATACTTATACCACGGTCACCACACCCAGAGACCACCGGGCGCCACCACACCTAGAGACCACAAAATAAAATAAAAAACAGTCATATCCAACCTAGAACCACCGGAATTGTCAATTGCCGGCGAGTAGTGATACCAATTTCGGCAAGAGAAGTGTTTGCTCGAATCCACGAGACTATCAACGGCCGTGACGGTCTTTTCTTTGATTTCCAGTGACGAGCTCGAATCCAGTAGTCGCCCGAGCACCGGAACGATCCCGTGCATCAACACATTTTTGTCGTCCCAATTTGCCGAGTTCTTTGATTCAGTCGGCCCAATATGCAACTAGTCGACGTCATTCTGGGTCTTGAGCTTGTCGTCTGAAAGGGTGGGATTGTGACAGTCTTCTGAGAGAGCGCGTCAGAGACGAAATGGAGAAATTCTAGAGAGATTCCGATTGAGAAATTCACCACAAATTCTGACGATGGTGGTGGTGCTGGGTTCCGATTAGTTTATGAATCAATGATGGTGGTTGTGTTGGGTTCGATTTGGGCCCCGCTTTCCGATTGGGTCATCGATTTAAGGCTCAAAAATCCCCAAATGACCTTAAGCCATTGTTGCAGAGGAAACCAAAACCACCCATTGGTTCGCAATCAATCACTTATACTCAGTTGTTTTCCCATGGCGCCAGTGTGTTGGTGGTTGTGTGATGGGGATTGTGGTGGTGGTGGTGGCTATCACTGGCTTTGGTGATAGTGGTGTGGGTGTGTTGTGGTTATGCGATGGACATTGTGGTAGTGGTGGTGGCGGGTTTGTGAGAAGAGTCATTGGTTAGCAAGGTTAAATGGGTCATTTAATGAATAGTTGTTGACATCTGAAATGGTAAATTGGTCATTTTGTGATATAGTTTGGAGGGGTGTGTTTGCAAAACTTTTCAAACTTGAGGTGGCGATGGGACAACACGGGCGTTGGCCGTCATTTGAGTGGCATTGATCTAAATCTCAAGGATGTTAATACAATTAATCCTAATTTTTTTCAGAACATTGCATGAGTGATGTCTAAGCTACACAATCCTTCGTAACGGGTGTTGCTCTCACGCTCCGCTCTTACTATTTGTGATTTAATTTTGTCGTTTTCGCTTTCATACTCTTGAATTCACTTTCGCTTTTACTTTATGTGACTTAGGATAATGTTGGCGAAATGATAAGGACTAAAAATTACTTTTCTTTTTACATGCTTGAAAAGTAGGGCTCGTTATGTATGTATGTATTTGTTTAGCTTAACCAAACAAGCCATGTTGAACATTTTGTCTTATAACCAAGGAGAAATAAAAAGAAAAAAAGAAATATGGGCTGATGTTTAGTTGCAAGAAGTCCATTAATGAAGTGTTATTCATTGTTGCTAGAGGACATTGCTAATGAGAAATAGAGCTAAGAAGCAAAAAAAAGATCTAATACAAGAGAACTACTATAGCGTTTGACTCGTGTGGTGGTTATTGCGACTTATCGGAATTCAATGAAGAGAAAAGAAATTTTTTTCTTCTTTTTTGGTAATTTATTTTATCAATATACTATGGTCGACCAAAAAGTTGTGGGACATGTCATACCACTGGACACAGATCCTCTTGTGAGGCCATCTCTCCCTTGCTATTTCTAGAACTAAATTGGGAGCTAATACTAAAACACGTCATTTGCCACCTCTCTCTCTCTCACCAAATTTATGATTAGACTAAATTTTTCTCTCCCCTTTTCAGTAACTTTCAAACCCAAATTTTCCTTATCGGAATTCACCGCAAGGTTTTTCTTGTGCTTTTTCACCGTCGGTTTAAGATGTTCGATGATGCTATTTTTATTTATTTATTTATTTTTTGGTTTGTTCTGCGCGCCATATTTTTTGTTTGATGCTTTTTCCAATATGCTGAATGAAGAAAGCTACTTGGAGTTGGGACTAGAAATAATTGAAGCTCGTAGTCTTCCTCATGCAAATAGTGACCTAAGATCGTCATTTTCCTTATCATTGTCGGCCGTCTGTGACCCCCTAACATTTGCCAAATCTAAAACCTTAATTAATTTTTAGAGAGATCCAATTCCTTGATTGATTTCTTTGTTTATTAATTTGTTCTTTTTTTTTTTACTCAACATATATTTATGATTATTCCTGGTGAACTGAGCAAAACCTTAAACCTCAATTAATTGTTGGTTTTGAAGATTATACAAAATAAGGAGCAATATCCAAATAAGATACATATATGCTTGGTCAATATGAACATGGATGGGCTTATAACTCCAAATGCATCCGTCACAGCAATACAACCAATCACAATCCAAAAAATTCAGAACCCACAAATGCCTAAAAGCTTACAGTTTTTCGGTTGCTTTAGCCGGATATGATATATAGATACCTTAAAATTCACATCATCATCGGAATTCAAATCCTTGACGTCAAAATTACAGAGAAACGAGTATGACAGGGTGAAAATTTTTAGAGAGATAGAGGGGTGTAAGAATTTTAGAGAGAGGAGGAACCAAAAATAAACGCTTGAAGAGTAAGAATCAATGATGGACCAGAAATTCTTTTTTGAGGGAGGGGGGGGGGGGGGGGGGGGTAGGGGCCAAACTTATATAATGGGTCTATTTTTATAACTTCAATAAGGTTTTCTTCATAAATTTTTAAAAATTTAAAGTATAAAATGCCAAAAAAAAAAAATTCCAGTGGGGGCAAATTATAATTTTAGTGGGGTCATCTTCATAAATTCTAGAACATTTGAGGTATAAAATGAAAATATAAAAAATCCAGTGTGGGCGGATGGTCCTATGTTGGCTCTATGCCTGGTAAGAATCCTTTGCGCCGGAGTAATTAAGCATGGTACCGGTAAGTGGCCAAGTAGGTGACTGTGTGGTTTGGTTCAGATCGAAGAGAAAACGTGTGTTGAGAGAAACGCGTTGTGAGAGAAAGAGTAGGTTGTGGGTAGGTTAATTACATGAAAGTTATTGGAAAGGGGATAGAGAAATTTAGTCTTGTCTCTAAGATCTAAAATGTGACGGCCCAAGTTTTACAAACCCGGTGCGTCATCGAGTGACCCGAAGTGCAGAAACGAACAAAAGAAATAAGGTCTCTAGAGATGTACGCCATCCCTAAGACGCCAAAGTGACTTCCCATGAAGCCATGGAACCTAAAAGAAAACAAGTGCTGAAGCGAAACTTTGAAAACGGGTAAGTACAACCCTGGGGTAAAATGGTCTTTTTACACAGAAATGGGTGTTGCCGTGCACACCATTGAAAATATAACGAAAAATTAATGAAGTTAGACTCAAGAATCGCCTGATTCGGAGTCCGGATGAAGAAAATGAAAACAAAAAATAAAGTGCTCCCAAGCTACTGGCAATCGATCGTGGGATTCGACGATCAATCGCAAAAACCACGAAGGATTGCTTAGAGCAAAA